GTGCAAAGGGGTCCCCGTGCAGTTGTGAGTGTGCAAGTGAGGGTCTGTGTGCAATGGTGAGTGTGCAAGGGGTGTGTTTGTGCAAAGAGGACTCTCCTTGTGCGGCCGTGAGTGTTCAAAGAGGCCCCAGTGCAATGGGGAGGGTCCTTGAGCGGTTGTGAGCGTGCAAGAAACTGTCCCTGTGCAGTCGTGGGCGTGCAAAGGGGTCCTCGTGCAATCCTGAGTGTGCAATGGGAGATCCTTGAGCAGTTTTGGGTGTGCAAAGGGGTCCTTGTGCACAGGGGAGGGTCCTCGTGCAATCCTGGGTGTGCAAATGGATCCCAGTGCGATTCTGAGTGTGCAAAAGACTCCTCTTGTGCAATCCTGAGTGCACAAGGAGCTCCTCGTGCAATTGTGGAACGTGCAAATGGATCCCCGTGCAATTCTGAGTGTGCAAATGGATCCCCGTGCAATTCTGAGTGTGTAAATGGATCCCCGTGCAATTCTGGACGTGCAAATGGATCCCTGTGCAATTCTGGGTGTGCGAATGGATCCCTGTGCAATTCTGAGTGTGCAAATGGATCCCCGTGCAATTCTGGGTGTGCAGAGGATTCCCCTCGTGCAATTCTGAGTGTGCAAATGGATCCCAGTGCAGTTCTGGGTGTGTAAAGGATCCCCCTCGTGCAGTTCTGGGTGTGCAAGGGGCTCTCCCGTGTCCCTGTGTGAGTGTGCAAGGCACTGGGGACGGTCCCTGTGCAGACCCCTCCCCCTTGCACGCCCCCCTGACCCCCCTCCCCACACCCACCTGCTCACACTCACACTCAGCCCCACACCTGCCAGGTGTGCGGGGGCGGGGCTTGCACGGGGGGGAGGGGCCTTGCACCAGGGTGGGAGCTTTGTCCTCGTGCAAGGATTGTCCCCGTGCAAGGATTGTCCTTGTGCAAGGATCGTCCTCGTGCAAGGATTGTCCTCGTGCAAGGATTGTCCCTGTGCAAGGATTGTCCCTGTGCAAGGATTGTCCCCGTGCAAGGATTGTCCTCGTGCAAGGATTGTCCCCGTGCAAGGATTGTCCCTGTGCAAGGATTGTCCTCGTGCAAGGATTGTCCCCGTGCAAGGATCCTCGTGCAAACCCCACACTCCAGAGAGCAAATCCTCCTCCAAAACCTTGTCCTTGCACAAGGATTGTCTTTGTTCCAGGCCCGTCCTCGTGCAAGGATCCTCGTGCAAATCCCACACTCCCACGAGCAAATCCTGGTCCAAAACCCTTGTCCTCGTGCAAGGATCCTCGTGCAAGGGCCTCGTGCAAGGGCCTCGTGCAAGGGATGTTCCCTGTGCAAGGATCGGCTTCATTCCAGGCCCCAATCCTCGTGCAAAACCCACGTGTGAGAGAGCAAATCCTCGTGCGAGGATTGTCCTTGTGCAAATCCCACACTCCCATGAGCAAATCCTCGTGCAAGGATCATCCTTGTGCAAATCCCACACTCCAGGGAGCAAATCCTCGTGCAAAAACCTTGTCCTTGTGCAAAGATTGTCCTGGTTCAAGGCCCCATTGTCGTGCAAAGCCCGCGTGTGAGCGAGCAAATCCTGGTGCAAGGATCATCCTCGTGCAAATCCCACTCTCCAGGGAGCAAATCCTCGTGCAAGGATCATCCTTGTGCAAGGGATTCTCCTCGTGCAAATCCCACACTCCCATGAGCAAATCCTTGTGCAAGGATCATCCTCGTGCAAAGCCCATCCTTGTGCAAGGATCATCCTCGTTCAAGGATCCTTGTGCAAGGATCATCCTCGTGCAAATCCCACACTCCAGGGAGCAAATCCTGGTGCAAGGATCCTTGTGCAACGGATTCTCCTCGTGCAAAGCCCATCCTTGTGCAAGGATCATCCTCGTGCAAATCCCACACTCCCATGAGCAAATCCT